CCCCCCCCCCCCCCCCCCCCGCGCGGACCAGCAGCTCGAATCGAAAGCTAGCCCTCCAATGTACATTGAGTATCACTCCTTTTAGAAATCTCGGTTTGTGTTCGCCTCAGCACTTCGGTCTCGATACCTGCGTCATTCCTTCGTTGCGAAACGCATACTATGTCTGATGGAACAACAGAATGGATATCGAAACTGAACGAACATCGAACGGGGATTTAGCTCAGTTGGTAGAGCGTTCGCTTAGCATCTCCAAGAAGCTCACTGCGAAAGGTCGCGTGTTCGACTCATGCAGTCTCCAAGATTCTTTTTTTTCCCTCTCTCCCCTACGCTGATCAACCCATCGAGTATTTCGTGTTTCATTTTTTTCCATAAAAAAAAAGCAAGTCACAATGCTCGAATTCGTCCTCCTTGTGGGTTTCCACCGAGGAAAGTGGGGGTATGGGGAGTGGACTCTAGGGATAGGGAAGCTAATTTTTTTTTCTTGAAGGAAAGCCCTTCCTTCCCCGCCTCCAGCTATAGGGAAATGGACGTTTGCCTTCTTCATCCGCCTCCCCGGGTTTCAATTGGAAGGGGTTCCCTTGACGATGAAAGGGATCAACGCTGAGGGGGAGGGAGGGGGAGGGAGGAGGAAACTTGTCAACGTCCTACACCTGGGTAAGTTCGGGTTCCCGACTTTTCCTCGCACCCCTTGCCCAAAAATAAAACTCACCTCCTGTCTTTGGAGAAACCACGTAATGACCGGTGGCTTGGAAGAGGGCTTTCATGACGCCAGAATGGGAGGTTAGGGAGATGACTGGCGAAGCGAAGGGAGGGAAGGGGGTGGTGTTGAGGGACGAGATGAGAGAGAGAGAGAGAGAGAGGGGAGGGAAGAATGAGTTCGGGAGTACACAGGAGGAGGAAGGAAGGGGGACACAGGGGGAAAGGGGAACACACTCACCCTGAGCTTTCCTTTCCTGTACAAAGACTTGGTTCAAAGCATCCTTGACCCTGTTGACGATGTGTTGGTCCGTCTCCCTCTCCTCGGTCCACAGTGGATCCTCCTCTCGGAACCCAGGTTCGAAGAGGTACCCTGGGAACCTTTTGTGGATGGTGGACCTGTCGCTCCTCTTGTCGCAGGTGTGTTCTCCGTACGTCTCCCTGAAACCTTCCTTGATCAGGGGTTGGACGTGGTGACCACCACCAACCCTTCCCAAGTCTTCCGAGAGTTCTCCTACGATCCCAGAGAGTTTGCCTAGAAGACCTCCGTTGGAGGTGAAGGAGGAGGAGGATTGGTCCTTCGACTCTGGAAGTAGGATTCCTTGCCAGGTGTACCTGAGCGTGTCGGCCGACCTGGTGAGGGGGCTGCTGTAGAGTCGGGAAGGTAGAGGGGCGTGATCCGATCCCTCCTTGGACTTTTTCACCTGCTCCTTCCACGCCCTGTGGGCGTCCTGGGCCTGACCGATCCCGACGGCTGTCAGGTTGGGGTCTGGTCCCCACACGATCTCTCCGTCCGTGTAGAGTTTGGACCAGTAATCGTCCCAGGCCTCGGTCCCGTACTTTGCCTCGGCTAGGTTGTGGTACCCCTCACCGTGCCTGGCCGAGTAGATCAGCTTGTAGAGGCTGCCGTCCTTGGATTCACGGTTCAACCTCGAGACGTTTTCGACCACCTTGGACCAGGTTTGACCCTCCTTGAGACCAAAGTTGGGAGCGATGGCAGGTAACGTCTCGGGTTTGCCGTTGGCGTCGTCGTAGAGGAAGAATCCCGTGACGGTGGTGAAGTTGTACTTGGTCGGTTTGTGGGCCATCGCTGGATCGCCACAGGAGAGGAAGAGGTAGAGAAGGGAGGGGAAGAGGGTCAGAGGAAGGATCATGATGGGGTCTCGATGTGGGGTAGAGAAAATAGATAAAGAAATAAAAAAAAAAAGGTCGAGTCGAAGGTGATGTTACTTTGTCTTTGGGTTGGAGGTTGGAAGAGGGGGGTGGGGGGGGGGGGGGAAAGGAGGAGGAAGATGGAATCCTTACCGGAGAAGGAGTTGGGGGGCAAGTCTACCAGCTGGTCTGGTTATAAATCTATGGTGAGCTGCAAAAATCCCTGTGTGCGCGATGGATTCTCTAGTTCCTTACTCTCCCCCTTCCTTGGCGAGCGAGTGACCCTTGGTTTGTATTTGGAGGAAGAAGAGGAAGGTGAATAAAATGGTAGGATGGTGCCGGAGGGGAGAGGGGGTTCACTCTAGATCTGGTTGGCTTGGTGAGGTTGGATCGAATCCTTCGGCGATCGTGGATCCGTGGGAGGGAAGGGGAAGAGGTTGGTACGAGGTTGCGAGTGGAAAAGAACCATTTCCCTCACCCAAACACCCCCTCCCCACGTTCACCGATTCTTTGTGAATTAGGCGAGGAGGGAGGGAAAGTCGACAGAGGTGGAGAACAAAAACGAACGGAAAATAGATGAGAAAAAAGGGCGGAAAAAAAGAAGGGAGAACTCGGTTGGAATGAAAGAAAACACGATGAAGAAGAACAGAGATCAGACGACGAACCTCGCTCCTCCCACCGTTCTCGCTCGCTCCGTCCTTTTGGAAGGCCGGTCGAGGAGAGGAGGAGGAGAGATGGATGGGTCAAGGGAAGGGAGTGGGGGGGAAAGGAGTGGGGAAGAAAGGTTGTGTTGAGTGGAGCAAAGTGGACGAAGGAGAAAAAAAAGCTTGGCTCCAAAAACCTCTCTCACCGGTTAACCGAGTCGAGTCGAGATGGTTCCCCTTCTTTGGCACGTGCGCATCTCTCCCCTACGATCCCCCCCCCCCCACCACCACAACAATCTTCCTCCCCCAAGTGAGGAGAGAGCTCCTACACTCCATTCACATTCCGAGTTCGCATCGAGGGTTCGGTTTTGTACTCGAGGTGCCTTGGTGGGGGTCGTCAGTACGAGTGGATGAATGGGTCCCCTCCCACAATCCACCTTGGGCCGTCGTGATTCCCCATCTCGCCAATGGACTGTTGCCCCAGGCGAACTCAAGATCCCTCCCACCTGCCCATCTCTCCTCTTTCTGATCACGTCATCTTTCCACCTCGACCCGTTTCTTCTCCTTCCCCTTCCCAAAACGGTAAAAATGCCAACCCTTCCTATCCAAGGGATGGACGAAGAATGCAACTCGTACAGGGACGGAAGGTGGGAAAGAAAGAGATGGACGGAGGTTAAAAAAAAAAAAAAAAAGAAATCGAATGGACACTGCATGAGTCGAACACGCGACCTTTCGCAGAGGAACTTTGTAGAGGTGCTAAGCGAACGCTCTGCCAACTGAGCTAAATCCCCCGATCCGATGACCATCGGGCAAAGATAGTTCGATATCAATCAACAGAATGTCGTCTCAGACTTTTAAAAGAAGAACCAAGGAGTTCATTTAAAAAAAAGGTTCTCTGGAGACTGCATGAGTCGAACACGCGACCTTTCGCAGAAGAATCTCATGATGCTAAGCGAACGCTCTGCCAACTGAGCTAAATCCCCTTCGTATTCCTGGCAGCATTTGCTGCATAAATAAAGTTTTCAAATATTCAACCTTGTTCGAGAATCACCTCCCCACGTTTGCATCGCCTTCAACTGTCTCTCCCAATCTTCCTTCTTGATGTCCCTGCCAGCTCTCACAAGATTGTTCCAGACTGTGCTTGAAGATGTGCGATGCCGTCTTGCCCTTCCATTCGAGCAAAGGGTGTGGCAGGGTGTGGCAAGAGGCTTCGCCTGGCGTGGACGGCCATCACGAAGAAGGGGGGGGGTGAGAGAAGATGGTGGTCAAGACGAGTTTGGGGAGCTAGTTTTGCTTTTTTTTCGAATCCAGAGCCGCCCAAGTCGGAGAGACTTGTCGCCTTACGTAGCATAACCGAACAGTCTGAATGAGGGGAGAGAACAAGGAAAAGGAAATGAGGTAAGAACGATAGGAGGAGAAGTTGGAATGCTACAATCATCAACGTTGAGGACCGTGTGAGTCTTGGGTTGAGAGAGAGCGCGGAGAGGGGGATCACCTCCGAACCCGTTCCGACTTCCGCGTTCCCCTTTCCCCATCCGCCAAAAAAACCTTGTCCACTGCCATCCACCCATCTTGATCTTTCTCTCGCCTTCTTCCTCGTCAAGTTGAGCCTTTTCGAATTCAAGCTCATCTCCCCCCCCCCCTCGGGCCTCCACCCGAACATGGACAGTCGGCGCGATGGGAAGCATTCGTGATTCGTTCCTCTGTCCGCTTCACGGTACCTCAGCATGATGGAAAAAGAAAAAGGAAGAGAAAAAAAAAGAGAGGAATCCTCATGAATCTGTCGGGCAAGAAGGAGATCTCTTTCAATGTAGAAAATGAAAGGTGAGAGGAAAGGGGGGGGGGGGGAGTCGACCATCAAAGTCTTGTGCGTTAAAGGGAAATCGAATCTTCCAACGGGATCCGAAAGGTTACGTTACGTGTCCCCACCCCTCTCTCTGTCTCGATATGTTGCCTTCGTGCCTCCCTGGTCAGCTTACAAGGGCAGAGTGGAGGTCGATCGTCCCCTCCAACCTTCCGCCCGTCATCCATGGCATGACACCACCCAATCTAAGAAATTCCTTCGGACTTTGGCCCCGATGGAGGCATAACACACACACACACACACACAACATCGAAACGATCCTCAAGTTCAGAACTCAAGGGTCAGGTAGGCTCGACTCCATGGTCCTTGCCCCTCCACCCTTGCCGCCATCGGTTTACTCCATGCACCAACGGCTTGGTTGGACACAGCCTTTCAAAAGGAAAAACACTCACACACAGACACACACACACACACCATACCCTTCCTTTCCTCCTCTTAAAGCTTTTCTCATCCTCTTTTCGCCCCATTCCACACCCCTCCTTTCCCCCTGACCACCATCCTCCTCTCCTACCTCACATTCTTGGAAAGACATTCGCTGGCCGGCCACACCCACCCTTGGCCAGATCGCGTCACTGTATGCGCTGGCTCCTCACCTTTCGAAACGCGCTTAACCACCCCTCCCTAACAGCTGCTCACCCTCACCCTCTCGCTCTTCAAACCAGACGACTTCGACGATCCATCGCCTCCCACCCGGCTACACTCCCACGCCAAACCCTAGACACCATGTCAGCTTCAACTTCCTCCCAATCTTTTCCCGCTTCGACACCTACCGTTCACACTCTCTCACCGACATCAGCATCGTCGCCACCGACTTCGAGCGTGACGGACGAGAAGACTGATGCCTCTGCTTACGACTACGTCGCCCCCCCTATCCCCTCCACCTTTCGATCCTCTCTCTCCGCTTGGTGGAAGGCAAAGCCGGTGGAAGATGCCGCTCACGCCGAGCTCCACCTCTACAGGGCCACAGGCTACTTTCAAGGTGCCACCGTCAATAACGCCCCCCTGGCCCAAGACTTCAGGCAGGGCAAAGGCCTCTTTCAAGGTCTCGAGTCCGTGCGATCGGAAAGACTCCAAGGTGTTCAGGACAGCAACAACAACAACAACAACACTTCCTCGCTCTGGCCTTTTCGGAGGGAAAGGGAGCCTGAGAGGATGACGATAGGGACTCGGACGGCGCCCGACGGGAAAGTAGGGTGCATCAGGTATGTCGATCTCGGCAGGTCGCAGGACGACGATCACCCATCTTCCGACAGCGCTTTGGCCAGGAAAGCCGCTTTCCAGCAGGGGACCGTGGGGGAAGGAGAGGGCGACGTCCCGCAAAGCAAGGTCACGACGACATTCCACAAAGGCCTCTCCCGGCTCGGCCTGGCAAGCGAGCAGCCCGACTCTAGCCCTACGACTCCGCTTCCTCCTCCTCCTCCTCCTTCTGGAAGGAAGCTCAACATGCTCGAGATTGGGCATCCTTACGATCCCGCCAATCCTGAAGCTCACGAAAAGGAGAAGAAGATCGTCCTCCTTCACGGTTACGGCGCTGGTGAGCACAACCTTTACCCTCCTTGACTCGATTCGAAACGGCAATGCAGTGAGGATGGCATCCCTACGGAACCCTGACCTTCCTCCAACTCCATCTCTTTCCTTTACTCCCCACAGGGACGGCCTTCTTCTTCCAAAATCTGAAATCCCTGGCCCAGATCCCCAACTCCCGCCTCTACGCTCTGGATTGGCTGGGAATGGGGAGATCCTCAAGGCCCCCTTTCCACATCCCTTCTTCGCTGTCAAAGACGACCGAGACGCGGGTGAACGCAGCCGAGAGCTTCTTCGTGGACAGCCTGGAGGAGTGGAGGCAGAAAGCCGGGCTTGACAAGATGGTGATCGTCGGTCACAGCCTGGGAGGCTACCTCTCGTTGGCCTACACGCTCCGTTACCCCCAAAGGGTGGAGAGGCTAGTCCTCGTCAGCCCCGTTGGGATTCCACGTGGATCTCTGGATCCAGAATCGGAATCGAAAGCCTCCTCCTCCTCCTCCACGCCGACCGTAGCGGCGGTTGGCAAGGCCGAGTCCGAGATCATCGACAAGGAATTCAACCAGCCTCAGGCTGAGATCTCGAAGAACTCGGGCTCATTACCACCTTCGTCGTCGTCGTCGTCGTCGTCGTCATCAGATGTGGCCACGCCTAGATCGGATGGCAGCGGCCAAGTCGGCGATTCAAACCACGCAGAGTCACCGACCTCGAGATCCGGCCAGTCGGCTCGAGGCGAGAGGGGTTCTCACGACCCGCCCAGACTGTCGAAACGAACGAGGAACCTGTTCAGCTTCCTGTGGGAGCAGAACGTCTCACCCTTCGGGGTGCTGCGGTCAAGCCTCTTCTTCGGACCGATGCTGGCGGGAAGGTACACGTCCAGGAGGTTCGGCTCTCTGCCGGACGAGGAGCTTCGATCGCTGCACGCCTACTGCCAGTCCATCTTCCTGGGCAAGGGTTCGGGAGAGTACTGCCTGGCTCACCTTCTGGCTCCAGGAGCGTACGCCAGGTCACCGATGGTGGACCGGGTGGATGGACTCAAGATCCCCGTCTCTTACCTCTACGGTCAGCACGACTGGATGGACGTCAAGGGGGGGAGGGAGAGCGTCAGGAGGCTCAACCTGGCTGGCAACCGTAGAGCCACCTGCTTTGTCGTACCCAGCTCGGGTCACCACATCTACCTTGACAACCCTTCCGGCTTTGACGAGCTGGTTCGGAGGATCATCAAGGGAGAGGTGGATGATCTGTAGGCTTTACAGGGCTGGATCTCTCTCTCTCCCTCTCTCTCTCCTCGAAGGGCTTGCGGGAGGTTCCGGTTTCCTCCTTTTCCTCTTTGTGGGTGGTGAGGGAAGAGGGGGAAAGGGTTAGGAAGGGTTGACACCTGTTTCCTCTCCTTTGGCTCGATCTTTCCAATTCTCCTTTCTTTCCCACGTGTCTCTTCCATCCCTTTCCTTCCCTCCCTTTTCCTCTACTTTCTTCTAGACTTGAATAGATGGGCGAGAAGGAAGAACCTCTGCAAAACCCCCTCCCTCTCTCCATCCACATGCAGAAGAAACGATTCACGCCATAGATGACCCACGAATGAAAAGAAGAAAATAAACACGACCGTCCCCCTCCCCTCCCCATCATCTCGTTCCTCCGCTCTTTTCCCCATCTCGCATAGATAAGAGATTTCGGGGGAATGGAATGATGGGGGAGAGGGAGGGAGGGGGCAAATAGAGCGGGCAAGGTTCTTTCTTATCTTGTTCTTTTTCCTTTCTTCTGTCCCTCTCTTCTGATTCCCAATGTGCCTTTCTTCTCGGCAGGTGTTTGGTATCCGATGAGGGGGGAAGGGAGAACGGATTTAGAAAACTGGGTGTGGGAGATTCGTCCGCTGAACCTACGGAGGGAGTGGGGCTAGCGTCAGACTTGTGATGAAACAAGTTGATCTTTGTGCTGCTTGGAGGAGGGGTTCCAGATCTGGAAGGGGATGGTTGGGGTTCTGTCTTTCTTCTTGTTCTCCTTGCCGACCTTGAAACCTCCCCTTTCACCCCATCTGGATGGGAAGGGGGATTCCGCCAGTCCATCAGCTCTATCTCTAGCACTCCCTTTTCGTTCCTCCTCCTTAGCCCTTGGTTTGGGGGGTTCCGACACGACGTTTGGAAGGGTGAGGGGGTTGGAGAGGGCACCCAAGATCCCTCCCTCTTCACCCAACTGGCGGAGTCACGGCGAAAAGAGAGGGGTAACAAATGAAAAAAAAAAA